ACTGCCAGAAAAGAACTACAAAGACACAAAATTACAGAGAAAGTAAAAATGAACCTAACAAAGGGTAGAACCCTGACACTTTACGGTTTTCATACCATCTCACATCAAAGCATGTTCATGTGATAAAATAGCTTAATCAATTTGCAGACCGAAATCCATTTGGGAATATTGAAAACTGACGTGTACTTAACCTTACCATCCAGTCCGACGGATCTTAAATATTTTGCAGAGTGGACAAAAAAAACCTAACATTTAAAATTCTCCCCAAACAGTTGTCCTCTGTTACTGTTGACTTTGCTAAACATGGATTCAGTGGGCTGAGTACAAATATGACAAAAAATTTTGTTTTTATAAAAAATTGTGATTCTTGTAGTTTTCTTTCTACTTTATGCTTATGCACTAATCATAAACTGTAGCACAAGATGATGGAGTACATCCTGCAATTAGAGGGTTGTTGGTTCAAAAACCAGCTCTGTTGCAGTTGTGTCTTTAAGCAAGACATTTTACCACATTGCCTACTGATGGTTGTCAGAGAGCCAGTCGGAGCCTGTGAAAGGTACCGGTAGTTTTCTTTTTGTTAGTGTTGTGGGGTGCTCTGGTCACAATGTAGCTAACCCCAATGAATATGTGCATTAATGAGTAAATGTCTGACTGTTCCTTTAAAAAACCTGGTCACCCTAGACTGTAGTGTAGAGTTCTTTGGAGTCCCCTGACTTGAAAAAGTGCTAAGCTTTTTCGCATTTACATGTGAAAAGATTCATACCTCAGATTGCAAGCCTCAAACACTTATTTAAACAAAACTTTATTAGAGTCGCCAATTTCAACAAACTTGCATAAATATGAAACAATTATTAAATAGAGCTTTAAGAGCCAAAAAGATATTAGCAATTAAACTTTTTTTAGCTTCCACACAGGCATCTTAGGCACTACCAGGAACAGAAGAGGCAGTGTGTGGCTTCATGACACAGCAAACACACCACCCTCACACAGTCTGGTCCACACCACTCAGATGACAAGTTTTCATGCTGCCCCACAGACACGTGACAAGGAACAGACAGAAAGGAAAATCCCACTTTAAGGATATGTGTAAAAGGGTGGCATGTACTCAGCATGCATCAAAACTGTTTTTTCTGTGTTTATATGTCAGCATGATGGATAGATTATTAATTTGACAAAACAAATCGCCACCCTTGGATATAAGACACAAAGACCAACTCTCCTTGTGTGTCAGTTTGCGATTTGAATGATTATATTTTGGGACGTGAACCTTATACGTAATTCATTTAGAGGGCAGGTTTTGTAAAATGGCTCCAATTCGTTTGGAACTGAATTGTTAACTAAATTCCTATAACAGTGACTCATTTTAAACATTGATGACTGAATAAAAGAATTTAATAACAGCAGAAGTTTTTGTTATTCCTCCCAAATTTTTATGTGGCAACTTTATGTTTAAAATGAAACCAAACAGCACAGGGTTTTACTGTCTATTACTCATTGCATACTTATTTTTAGAAGGTAAATATTATTGCTGCAAATATTTAGTAGCAAGAGAGTGATGCGGATATAGAGAATTCATAAATATTTGATTGCAATTAGAGAAAGCTAATATAAATCACATCACTAAAGTATCAAACTAAAATGCTTCCTGCTCTCAGCAACAATGAAATTCAGACTTTAAGAATGACTATCAAAGAAATTTCTTATAACACCACACTTTTTGCTAATATTTACAAACTAAGTTGTTAAGCCTGTATTGTATGTACTCACCCTTGATCTTAAACAAACAATATAATTTCTATAGAGCCAATGAGCAGGTCTTATATAAAGGAGGAAATACTTGATGTATAACTTTACAAACATAGCCATCTATGTGGAAACATATACATTATTAAGATAAGTCTCAGTGATAAGATACATATAGCCGCTCCCATTTTGAGTGATCTCAACAGCAAGTGATTACAAACTGCTCACTGGCTGGCCATTAGCTTTTATGCAAGACGCTCCTCTAGACGCAACTGGGATTCAAACAATAAAAGACTCAAACCACTTCACCATGTTGCTATGTTGCTTTACAAAGAATTATCAAAATAAGTAATAAGTAATACAAATATAAAATCCACATCAAGCTTTTCATGAAAAAAATTACATTTCAAAAAAATACACCCCCAGAATGTCTAGAGTGATGCAAAATAAAACTATTAATTTGACTGAAAATAAAATATAGCATATGAATTATTGTTTTATAAATTTTGCTGATCCAAAATATATAAATATCTATTTATGGTTACAATGTCAACATTGACACAACATGATGATTCTGCACCAATTGCACCAATAGGAATACTAGATTGAAGTCAAATGGAGCTCTGGAATGATCCTTGCAGCCTTGTGATAACTCTGAGAAATTGCTTCTTCATGGTGTTTAAACTCTTTTCTTTGCTCCCTCTGGTCCATGTTGAGTGTGGTACACACCATGTTAACAAACATGTGACTACCCGTAGCTATATATATATATATATATATATATATA